CGTGGGCAGCCCAGTGCTTGGCCTCAGTCCCTGCTGTGTGTCAGAATGTCTCCACGGGCCGCTGGGTGGGTCGTGTCTTTGGTCTTCTGACCACTCTTTTGCCGTCCAGCCTCTGCCTCGCGATCTTGTCTCCTCCAGCCCTCCTCAGGCGCTCCCTCCTCAGCCAGCTGGTGCTCCTTGCTGGTAGGTAGGTCTTTCCCGCGCCTGCTTAAGAAATGATTAGGCTGGGGCCAAGCTTACCTGCCAGCAAAATGATTTCTTAAACAGCAACATGGACCTCCAGGGGACACGTGAGACCCTCAGGCAACGCAGGCCACCGGTCTCTGGGAACAAGGAGAAAGGAGGCGAGGTCCTTCAGGGAGTTTTGAGGCTGGCAGGACATTGTGCTCATCCTTGTAGCGAGATGGCCTGTTCCAGGGACTGTGGGCTACATGGGAGATTGGGAGCACGGAGCGGGTTTTCAAATGGAGCCCGAGGTAAAGGCTTCGGAGCATGGGAAGGTGTGCATGCGCAAGGCAGCTAGTCCCTTCAGGTGGGAGTCCTCTGCCCAAGTGTTTTTTGTTCTGGGGTTCAACTTGAAGTGGCAGTGTCCGGCTGCTCCTGCTCCCATGGCCAGGGTCAGCTGGTCAGCTGGGCGAAGGCTGCAGAGCGAGGGAGCAGAACTAAAACAGGAGAAAAATAATGGGGTATGGAAAATGACACAGGCGGTTGTCACTGGCCCCAAGTTAAACTGTTTCCTGTAGGCGGGGTGTGCACAAGCCCATAGTTAGCCTGGAGAAAGTTCTGAGGCATCTGAAGCTGAAAAACGGGCAGGCAGGGGTCTCCTACCTTGTAGTTCTCTCCGCAGGAGACCTGTGGGCCCAGGAGGTGAGGCCTGGGAGGGGGTGGGAGGCACTTTCCCTGCTGACCTTGACTTTGGCAGTTCAAAATGACCACCTGCATGAGTGCTGAGAAGTAGGCCTGGTCCGCCTATCGCTCCCGGGAGTTCCTCCACTCGTTGGAGTGGGGGAACTCAGAGATTCAGAGAGAGTGCTGCCCCAAGGGTTTACTAACAGGGCAGGGCTCAGAAGGAGGCGGGATGACAGGCAGACAGTTTCCCAGGAGGAAGGGAGGGGGCTTCCTGGAAGAGTCCCTCCGGAGCGGAGACTGCGCCACCATCAGGTGGAGGAGATGGCCGCGGCTGGGTGCAGGAAGGGTCTGATGGTGGAGGTGGGAGGGTCTTGAGGCAGGGGTACAGGAGCTGATGGTGGAGGTAGCCAATCAGCAGAGGCCCAGCCAGGAGGAGGGCTGGCCTTCCAGACCCAGCACATGTCCCTGATCTTGACTTGACCCTCCTCCAGCACTGTGAAGCAGCTTGGCGGACATGGGAGAAAAATCGGGGTAGGGCCGGGAGGTGGGGGAGGTGGTGGTGTGGTGTGGTGTGGTGTGGTGTGGTGTGTGTGTGTCAGGCTTCTCCCTGGGGAGTGGCTGTGGTCCTGGTGTGGGTCAGCAGGGCTCTGCTTCCTCTTCAGTGCACTCAGCCACTTCTCTGCCTCGGACGCCGATCCTGTGCGCCTGCTGTCTTCCCACCTCGAAAGGAGACCACACTCATCACAGCTTCCAGCACCGGGTCATCAGAATCCATGCGGCACGTCCACATTCCCTGCACTCTGAGCTTCGAGGGGGAGTGCAAGGAGACCCAGCCAGGGATGGATAGCAGGGGTTGCTTACTGCCCCCCTTCACCCGCCCCCACCCCTGGTTCATTAGTTATCGCTCGCTGTATAATAAGTTGGTCCCTAATTTAGCAGCTTGGAAACAGGTCTGCTTTGGGGTTCCTCTGGGTCAGGAGTCCAGGGGCAGCTTAGTTAGGGGCTCCTGCCTCAAGACTTCTCAGGGGTGGCAGCTGGTCCCCTCCAGGCCCGCTCTGGTGGCCGCCAGAATTCAGTTCCTCGAGGGCTATTGGGCGGAGGAGAGCCTCATTCTTTCCTGTTTTTTGGCGGGAGGCCTAGCTCAGTTTTTGTCACATGGCTGCTTGTCGCTCACTGGCAAGTGGGTTGTGGGCAGGAGGGCAGAGCAGGCCATCTCTCAGCGGTTTCATTGTCTATTTTCCAGGCTCACCTACACTCAAGGAGGGGATAACATGGGTGGACGGATCATGAACGACACCCAGTGGGGCCACATCCAGCCCCACCCCCAGCCTTGCAGGCCAACTGCCTTAGGGGTTTCAGGAACTCTACTGGTTTCAGGATATTGGCCTAAGGGGTGTTTTAAAGTACCAATGCTGTTTATGGGTAGCATACTGTTATTTTCAAAGTAGAAATCTGGGCCTTCCCAGAGTAACTTGGCTCAGTGTCAAACAGCACCCCGGTGCAGAAGGTGTCCGTCCACAGGCTGCCCTGCTGCAACCTGCCCAAGGCAGCGATGGCCTTTACTTCCCCTTTCCTGTGCAGCACAGGACTCCTTTTCTTAACCCCACAAGTATTTACATTTTCCTCAGAGCCAGTCCTGCTCCCACATGGTCCTGTGCTCCCAGGTGTCCCTGGGGGAATCGTCTTGGGACTGGACCGGGAGGAGGAAGAGTGGGGATAAACGCTCCACGAGGGCCCCTGGCAGCTCTGAACATACCCACGGGGACCACTAGGAGAAGTCTGGGTGGCACTGTCCACCAGGGCAGGAGGGCCACCTCTCTCTCACCTGTCTCTTTGGCCCCTGGGAATACAGTGCTCATCCCTCCCAGGTGCCTATGCTTGGCACCATCAAGTCCTGTCATCCAGGTAATCACAGAGCCAATCTCTGTGTCAATCAGTGGAGGGGTGGTGGGAGCTGGCACCTCGTCTTGCATGTCTGTGGAATAAACCACGTCTCAAAAGAGCTTGTGACTTTTTCAGTAGCTGGTCTGTCAGCCTTGCCTCCTTGCCTGATGGAGTGGAAAGGGTGGGAGGGAAAGACCCCGGCCAATCTTGCACTGGTGTATGGGCCCTAAGTCCCTTTGGCCACTGTCAGATTCTCTTTCTGCCCTTTTCCTCCAGAGTCTGATCTCTTCCCTTTGGACGGGGTATTGGATTTTACCCAGAGTGTCTCACCTGCGCTACCCCAGCTGGAGGGATGCAGAAGATTAAGAACCATTGCCATTTGATTTGAGGGCAGGCTTAAGGAAGCAGGGCTTTGCTCTGAATCGGGCAGTAAAAGAGGCAATTATATCATTTAGCATCTTAAATCTCACCTAGGGGACAAGCATAGGTGGTTACAAATTGGGCAGCTAACTTCAAGGTCATTGGTTTGAAACCACCAATGGCTTCTTGGGAGTTAGTCTCAGAAACCCACAAGGGCCTTTCTATCCTATCCTACAGGGTGGCTATGAGTCAACATTGAGTGCATGGGGGTGAGTTTGCGTTTATCTTTGGAGTGGACAGGCAGGGTTGATTTGTAATTGGAGAAGCTAAACTGGTCATTGGTACAGAGGCAGCAGTCACACTCACCAGGACAGGGGCGTTGGATTCGTTTTGTGGCGTGGACAATAGTTGTGGGTTCGGTGCAAGTACACTGACACTACATGAGCGCCAATCAAACTGGAGGGATGGAGGTCTAACATGATGGCGTGAAGGAGGAACTGACGTGAAAACTCCACAAAGCCTTTGTGACGGGCATCAGGGGTCACTTGCTGTGGGGTGAGAGAGTCTGTTCGGGGGCCCCTAGCAACCCTATGCACAACAGAACTAAGCCATCCTCACAAATGTGCCCGAGCTTGAGCCACTGTTGCAGTCCACCTGGTCGAGGGCCTTTCTGTGTCGCTGCCCCTCCACCAGGCATGATGTCCTTCTCCAGGAACTGGTCTCTCCCGAGCGCATGCCCAAAGATGCAAGGGTCACTCACTGCAGGTTCCTTTCAACATGTCTGGGTCCAAGAACTTTAGAGCGAGCACAAGGCGATCTCGGCTTCGCCTCTGCGGGAAACATGGTGGCTTCCAGGTCCACGTCACTTCCGCCAGCGCGGGCAGACGCTAAGGCCTAGGCGCAAACGAGACCCACGCGCATGCGCCCTAGACGCCCCGCCCCTCCCGACGTCCCGCCC